TTTTTTTTTTCTCTCTGTTCTTTGCACCTGATGATGAGTTCGATACCCGCACATGTAAATTTGGTCGAGGAAAGAAAATAAAGGAAAAAGAAATGGGCATCAGAAAGAAGGGCAGGAAAATATCGAATAACAAGCTGTGAGCCTGCGCAGCCTAACAGCAGGCTCTTGGCCGCCTCGAGCCTTGCCCACGTCAACCACCCCCGAGATACCTCACCGAACGAAGCAGACGCCCGACATCTCGATCTCCTCGCCGCAGGAAGCCACAAGCACGCAGCCATGCATTCGAGCGAGGCGGTCGTGCCAGCAGCAGGCGGCATATCGGGTGGCTTGCCAAGCGCTGCAAGCGCTTCGACGTGGTGCGTGGACTGGTTGACCGGCCGCTCCCTTGTGCGAGGCCCTCGCACATTGGGATCGTCCGACTTCCGGACGAGAAGAACGTGCCGGAACGGGGCTCGAAAGCTGGCAGCAACGTGTAGAGTCGATATCGAGGTGAGACGGACTTGTTGAGCTGCACCTCACCCGCCCTCCACCGCGTTGGTGGCAGAGTTCGCGTACCTGACGCGGAACTCATGCGGCCTGCATACGCTCCCGCGAACGCAGATTGCCAAGAAATCGCAAACTCAGCGCAACAATGGGCTTGCAATTAAGCTGGTCCGCAAAGATGATTGCGTCGACGTTACCGCATAATGGCCCAAAGATAAGGACGATGGCCGAGGAGTAGGAGCATGCAAGGCAGGCCAATGGAGGTGGTGTGGGGCTATCTTTGCTGCGAGTGCCATCCCGCGGGGGGACGGGTGCCAAGCGGTGGCGGGCCTGCAGTTGCAGCCTGCACCTGCACGCGTACATGAGCGCAACCAACGCCGCGTCCGGATTTGTGGAGACTGCCACCGCCTGCGTCTCGCTTCGTCCCTCACGCTGCACAACCCCAGATTTCGAACTTCCCCGCCTGCATCCCGTTCGGCGTGTCCACATGTCGCCCCCTCCTATTCGTTGCAGCCACCGGTCGAGCGACGCCCTCCTATCTCCAAGAGTTTCTCCAGCCACAGCTGCGCCGGCCGGAGAAATTCTCGGTCTCTTCACTCGATGATTGGACGCACCCCGCGTCGCACAACCGCCCTCCCCACCCCGACTCCTACCTGCGTACGGAGAAACATCAGGACCAGTTCGAAGTCGAGCCCCCACGCTGTTGCAAGGGTGACCACCGATTGGACTAAACGGCCGACTGGATACGCCGGTCAACACCGGCCATCGTAAGAGGACGCACCAATCACTCGCGGCAAGGCACTTGGAATCATCCAGCGCAACAGCGAAGGCCGAGAGGCCGAGGTCACAAGCGCAGATTCATCTGCCGGACTCGATCTACGGGTGTGCATTGCCGTGCGAGGCGAGTCTAGAGCATGCAAACTCGATTTTGCGGGGTAAGAGCTCCTTTTCCAGGAACGCGGAAGCACGCCTTCTACAGTAGGCAAGGTTGGCTTGGGCCAGGTGACCTTGCGGAGTGGAAGACGTGACGAGAATGTGAGGCGAACCAAATTGTTGGGGAAGCGTCAGGCGCCTAGGCGCCCAGTGTACCAAGAGGTCGCGACGGCACCGGAGATCGACAGCCGTTGCCCCGCCGCGGAGTGGCTTGTGCCGGAAAAGCGCCCGAATTAGAGCTAAGCGTCGGCTTCGCCTCGATGCGAATCACGGCAAGGGCAGGACCCTCCCTTGCAGCGGACGACAGCCTCGCTTGGCACGTCCGATGACTCTGCTGCCTTAGACTCGCGCGTATCATCGTATTGTTGATGTATAGCAAGGTGCCGGGCCGAGTCAAATACGAAAAGGCGCAGAGTGGAAGCGAAGGTGTTCGCGTGCCAGGCGAGATCTTCGCATCTACTGCAGCCTGCAAGATCCGTCCCGCGATTAGGACCGCGTCGCTTCGCAAACGCAGATCGGGAAGAGATGGGGGGAGCAGAGGTGAGGCAGATGCAGCTCTAAAAGACGGATCAGTGGCCCGATCTGTGAACGCGTCGAAGCTTCGTTCGCCAACGGATTTCTTCGAGGCTGGAACCGCTCAGAACTTTCGATCCCGCCAGCCAGAGACACTCGCCGACTCCGCATGGATCCAGCCAGGCTCAGCTTTGCAGATTTTTGATTTTGATTTATTTTTTCTTTCGAAATTTCGGCTGACGCGCTGCCTACGCGATACTCGGAAGTGGACCGCGTCCCGTGCTGAGGCGGGAGTGGACGAGCCCAGAACGTTCCAAGGCACCCTAGCAGCGTCATTGAATCACGTCAGATTCGCCGCAAACACGACGAGCACGTTCTGGCTGCTTTTGCTGCAAGCGTCCGCTGCTGCAAAGAGGCGTCCTAAGGTATGGCGCAGCTGACAGCTCGCAGCTGCAGAAGCTGGAAGCGCGCTCGTCGCCCCGCTACTGCAGCACCAAACCTAGCTTGGTCCTGCAACGCACTGTGCTGCGCTGTGCAGGACGATCCGCGGCGACCACTCAGATTGCGACGCTCCGGTATCAGCCAATGGCTCGGCTTCGAGGTGCAACCCTTTTTCCAAGCGCCGGTAGTGCGACCTACGCTCATGCCTCGCTCGACCCTAATCCCTCGCAGATGCTCTTTGCATGAATTAGCAGCTGCTCAGCCTTGGACAATGGGGTTGCCGGAAGACACGTTTCCGTCGGCGAGGTGGAGCGCAGAGGGTGTAAATTTAGAAGAAGCACGCCCAATAGCCGTAGCCGGCTGCTGTACTCTGCGTGCTTCGATCGAGCTAGACGCTCGAGCCGAAAAATTCCAAGGGCCCAAGCTCAATTTCTTCTCGTTTGGCGAAAAAAAAAGTCGCTGCAAAACTTCACGGACCTCTCACTGCCGGGATCGGGGAGGGCAGCTTCATCTATTTCCAGGGCGCCGATTCGGCCAACTCGGGCACGGATGCGCGGACTGTGCACCCTGCAATGCTCGATGGCGGTGCAGAGCTCCGTGCGATTACAGATCCACAAGATGCGTCTGACGCAAGCGGCAGCGTGGTGACCATGGCGGCAGCGTTGCCCGTGTGGTGATCTGGAGCGCTGGATCGAGAGTCGTAATTCGGAACCTTTTTCCGTCGATTCCCGCACATTTTTCTGCAACCTCCGCGCAGCGCCGTCCACGTTCTTCGCGACGATTTTCGACATTTTTTTTTAAGGCGTTGCCAGGCATGATTCGCAGCAACGTGCGAGGGCGACAGCGTCCAGCCTGGCAGCAACGGCCCCAGCAGTCGGAGCAACTCGAAGCCACAAACGTGCTGGTCGAGAGCAGATCGGAGCTTGCCCCTTGACCGAAGCCGAATGCGACCTCGATCGCAATCGCTGAGCCAATCGACGCAACGCAGCAGCGAGCAACACTCTTGTGCGGGAGAGCCTGTTCGGCATGCTCGGCATCCCTCACGAGTCTCGATCTGCGCAGTCAAATTGCTTTTCTTTTTAATTTTTTGGAACGAAGGTGGAAGAAAGGGAGAAAAAAAAACAAGAACACGAGAACCCTAGCGTTCATCATGGCGTGCCTGGCTTGCGTGATGCGTCGACTCACCATCGAGGTTGGCCATTGGCCGTGATTCAGTACCGTATCTGTCAACAGATTGCGACAGCCTCCCTTCGAAAAGCGAATCGCATCAATGAAGGATGCCGAGCTTGAGCCTCTTGGCTCCACCTAGACTGCGATGGCATGCTTCTGAAAGGCTCCGAAGACGCCTCACGGCAATCGCTGACGACAGCCAAGGCGGCAGCAATGTCTGGACGAGCAGAGACGGCGGCGACGCAAGCATGCCATGAAAGGGCAGCGTGCAAGTTTGTGCCGATGTGGAGTCATCGACGGCAACGAGTGTAAGCATGCACAGGTCGCTCTCTCCCAAGACATCACCTCGACCAAGTGCCACAAAGGTACCCTCTTGTTGTGTGACCTTACGGTACTCGGCACCTTTTGCCCGTCACCTCACTTTTTTTTTTTTTTTTTTTTTTTT